TCCCCAACACTGGGTCAGCCTGACTTCCTATGGCCTTTTTCCTAAACTGCTAGACAAGATGTCAGCCGCCACCACCTTTTATGTAAACTGTGGAGGTTCACAATGGTAATTTATATATCCTTTGCTTTAATGTCCAGATGTTAGCACAATAAGCAATCATATGCTATTATTAGGACTGATCTTTATCATTCATGAAAAAGGCTCGTTACACCCTAAAAATACCTCGGCTGTTCTGCATAATAGTAAATAATATGTATACATATTTAAAAATCATACAGTTTTTTCCTACACATTGTAGTCATCTAATCATCTTCATTAGTTATGTCAAGGTTAAGGTAAGACAATGGGAGACACAAAGAGATCTCAATAACATTCAGTAATAGCCTATATTGATCATAAAAATTCTAACTTCTCAAGGGCAGAAAAGGGTTCATATCCTCTGGAAATATTATTAAAATGGACTGTAGACAAAAAAAAAAAAAAAGAAAAATTCACATGGTTAAAAACTGAACTATAATATGGAGTAAAACCTCTCAAGTTTTTTCATGATAGTTGGTATTGTGTGGATAAAAACTACCCAGAGAAAAGTGTCACAGATCTCCCATAGCAACTTAACCTTCATGGTCCTCTGCTAGCAGAACTCCCCCACTCAACGGCTCTGAAGATAAGCACCCACCTGGTATATACTTAGTGCTTTGACAAATGTTTTTCTTTGCTTATCATTGCTGCTTTTATTTCGAGGTCAAAATGATCCTCAGCGCCGTAAAACTTTACTATGACTCTGCTTCACTTGCATTAATTAACTGTTATTCAGGGAGGGATTGCTGCAAAAAATCATTGGCCTTTTTTCTGAAATATTTATTAAAATCCAGAAGAGAAAAAGAAGATGCCTTTTTTTTGCTGGTAAAAGTAGTTTTAAACACAGTCAGGTGCTATTCTGACTGAAAACCCATGAAGAGAAGGAGAGGCCATTTTAACTAAAGCAAAATAACCTAAGTAAGATTGGAAGTGCTCTTAGGAGGCATTTTAAAAGTCTGCTGTGTTCTGATGAAAATCAAAAGTAAGGTTTTAACCATAATCGATATATCAAATTTGACAATGAAATCGCAGCATTATCCATTGGTGTGCTTTTGGAGGGAATGGTGCACTGTAAAACATCTGCACCATTCTGAACATCCTCAAGAGTCCAAATCAGATGCCTACTCTGCTCAGTTAGTTAAAATGGTGTTCATATTTATTTAAAATTTTTTAAATCTAATTTGGTGTTTTTTTATCCCATGTTATATATTTTTATCTTTGCTATCGGGCAGGTTAATCCATCCATCCATCCATCCATCCATCAATCCATCCATCCATCCATCCATCCATTGGGCAAAGCTAAAAAGCCATTTTAGCAATGCTGCCAGCAAATGTAACTATGTCTCCACATCTGTCAGGGTAAGTGGGCCAATATTCCAATATGTTATTTGCATCATACACTTTAATAAACATTTCCATGAATTTCTAATAAAATGTGTATGGACTTATGGATTTCTTTGAAATCACCAAGAATAGGCAAGTGGAGCCACCAGGTGCAGGATTAAACTGCAAAACTAAAGGAATAAACGGGTTATTTAAAGTTCTGCATGATATGAACAAAACATATAAGTAGTGAGTGAAAATAAACTCTTAAAGTAAAATTGAAGAAATATTTTCTTTTTACAGCACACACATAAAACTGCATCAAATTGGAAATTCCTGTTAGTGACAAATGTTGCAATCATAGATTGTAATGCATGTTGAAATATCAGAAAAGTTGTTATTGGAGAAAGTTTTATTACGATTTATATTAACCCTTTAAAGCCTGGACTATGAAATAATTGACATAATTCCGTTTTTTTTTTTTTTTTTTATTAGTTGTCATTGAACCCTCTGACAAATTACATCAAAAAAGAATTGTTGTATAGGTTAAATTAGATCATTTATTTACATCAAACTTGATACATAAGGCATTTCTCTATAATGTTTTAAACGTTTTCTTTTCACTACATGCGTCTTATTGTGTAAGTCAGAGTTGTCAACAACAAATATGATACAATTGGCTTTAAAGGGTTTATACTATTTTTTTCATACCCTGTATCATATTTTAATCAATTTCTTAACAAGCAGTGTTAAAAATATTTTAAAAAATATTTTAATTTTATTCGAAAAAATGGGACAGATAACCGAACTTCCCACATAGATGGACTGTCTCTCTTACTTAAAAATAATATTTGAGTGATAAGAGCCTCATCTTAAACATGCTGTTCAATATTTTGGTTATTTTAACAACTTATCTCAGAACATGATAAATAGCTAAACTGGTTTTGAGTGAGAATGCATAAACAATCCTAATCTTCTTGTCTCTACCGTAATCAAACACATCATGTGTTCCTGATGACATGGAAACAACAGTGGCAGATCTATGGATCTGTAAAACATCTAAGCAGGGTGACAATGCTGGATCTCATTGAAAAATGTAAGTTAATAGTTGATTTTCTAAATAGAAAAAAAAAAAAAAAAATGAACCAAAAATAAAACTGGTAAAACATTTTATTGCATCAAAATCTCTCCCAAGAAACACATTACATTTCAGGACTGATTCCTGTCATTTTAGGGATGAAAATAGTTGTTCTGGGCATCAAAATATCTCATAAAGAGATTCAAAACTGCTATTTCTGCCCAGCACTGGAATTTATATCGAAAGCAAACAAACATGTACCTGATAGTACTTTTTATGTTTCTCCATTTTACAGTTCTTATCAACATGACAATAAGTTCTCTAGAGGAAAATCCCAAGTCAGAATCAGTGGTGACAGCAAAGAGATAGAGGGAAGTTTAGAAAGAGTAGTAGAGAGCCATGGGTAAGAGTTAGGATAGGAGATGCTCTTTGGAGAGGTGGGTCTTTAAGGGAATTCCTGAAGATAGACAGGGACGCTGCTGTTCTTGTTGTGCTTGGTAGGTTATTTCACCATGTTGGAAAAACCCATGAAACATGGATTGTCTTAAGCGTGGTGTAGAGACTGCTAGAGGAGAATCCATTGATGATGGGAGTGACCAAGTTGTGACATAAGCTTTTGCAAGAGGGTTCAAGTAGACGGGAGCCGTACCCTTAAGGACTTTGCAGGCTAGAATCAGGGACTTGAATTTGATGCACGCAGCCACGGTTAACCAGTGAAGCTCAATGAACAGAGGGGTCACACGAGACTTTATGGGCTAATTGAACACTAGACGTGCCGCCCTATTCTGGATCATTTGTAACGGTTTTATCGTACAGGCTGGGAGACCAGTCAGGTTACAATAGTCAAGGCGGGAGATAACGACTGACTGCACCATTTTGCATCATTTTATTAAGACACTAAGGGCCGGATTTATCAAGATCCAATTTTGCGTGCAGTAATTTGCGCTCGCAAACTGGAATTTTGCGCGAGGGGCTGAACCATGGTTTGCGGGTGATTTAACAAGAGTGATTGCGTAACTGGTGGAAGGTGCAAAACTGTTGGAGACGCCCTATTTAAATGATGGTTTTGCGCGTTTTGTGGTTTGCGGCAAAGTAGTTTGTAGTCTTTACAAACTAGTGCATTAAGAAATTAAAATCTTACAGTGACCCCCAACAAAAAAAATAAATAAGTATATATATATATATATATATATATATATTTATAAATTGGCAACCTTTATTCCCTAAGGTGGTAGGCTATGTGCTGCAGTAAAAAAACAAAAAAAAACAAAAAAAAAACAAAAAAAAAACAGGTGTTTTGTATTGGCCTGTGACTGTGGATGAGATCCCCGCAGCATTTGGCACGTTGCTCCACAGGCGCAGGGGGAGAACCCCGACCCCGTCGGACAGCACTTCTGAAAAAACGAGATTGGGAGATCCCAGCTCTCGCTGCAACCGTACGCTGGAATGACCCAGATGCAAAAAAGTGCAATGTTGCAAGGAGTTTTGTGATATCTGGTATTGCGTGGGTCCTCCTTGTGGCTGGCTCCAAATCCATTCGGAGTTCCCCCAACAGCTGCAAAATGGCAATGCTGGAGAAACGATATGTTTTGATGATCGTTTCCTCGTTCATTGCAAAAATATTCACACGGAGTGAAAAAATGCGTTCTCTGCGTCTCCTTGCTTCATTTCCATGCCTCCTTCTTGCAACAATAACCGCTGCCATGTGTGCGCAATTACGCATACAGACCATTTGCACCTTCTTTTGAAACGTTTTAAATATAGAGTCAGATACCGTTAGCAAAATTGCTTTCAAGTTTGATAAATCACTTTGCGAGTGCTAAATTAATATATTTACATGTTCTCCTCCCACAAGACGCACTTTAGCGTGTAAACGCCCCATATTGCATATTCATTGCAGAAAAAGTACTAAATGGATCAGAGGCGCTATTTAGCACGTTTTAAAGACCAAATGCTTTTAGCACGCTGTTGATAGATCAGTTTGTACATTTTTTAGCGTGCGCAGTGAAATAGCTCACGTTTTTATACACGCAAACCTTTGATAGATCCGGCCCTAACTCACAAAGCACTGTGTGTGAGCATCTCATTTAAATCATAACATACATGCAAACTGTTTTTTTTTTTTTTATCTCTACAGATTCAGCAGGGTAAAGCTGCAGGTTTAAACTATTCCACAAAAGGAGCCACAGGATGAAAGATCCTCAGATATCTTGGCAATTCTTACAAAATACAGCAAAAAATAATATTTTTGATTGTTGGCAAGAAAGTATGAAAATGGGTTCTGGGTCCTTTTCTTCAGCAGAAATTCTGATTAACCTTTCTGTGTCTCAAAGACAACAGTGCGGACTCTGACTGAATGTTGATCCTTCATTACGGAGTTTCAGTCTTCAGCAGCTCTGTCTTGTTCAGGTCTGTCTTGGAATGTTGTTTTTGGTGCTTCTGGGCAGTAAACATGCTACACTTAAAGAAGACCTCTGTTGACCCTCCACCCACTCAGTCTCTTCTTTCAGGTGCTGTTAAAGAGTCCAGAACTGAGAAGGAGGTGTGGTTGTTTTTCCAGGGTTTAAGCAGAGCTTCTACTTTTACGCAGTTTGAGCTGGGAAGCAAACTTCATCCGACATGCAGGTATGTGTCTAAAGGACAATGGTGACATTTAATGTTTATATATATTTTGCTGTTTTAGAAGTAAAATTAGGAGCTAATTTTGACATGTGTTTCTTTTTTCTTTAAACTGTCACTAAGTGAACTGCTTTCATTTTTACTTCAGGTAATAAAGAGTCTGTTGGGCAGCTGGGGGCTCATGCTGATGCTTCAGTTTTGCTGCTTAATCCAGGCTGAGGTAAATATAAATTTTTTGAATATTTATGCATAAAAATGCACAATGGCATACACTGTGAAAAGGTGTTTGCTTCTTAAGCAAATACTTGATTTTTTTGTTGTTGTTGTTGCCACAATTAATAGGTAAATATAAAAAAAAAAAACGAAAAAAAAAAAAAAAAAACAGAAATAGTTTTCAAACTTCTGTCTAAAAGAACTGGGTGTGCTATTTTATGAATTAACTAAATTTTACGAGAATAGTCTCATAGCCACACCCCAGTCTCACAGGCTTGTAGAACCAAGGTAGGGATAGGAAGAATATACCTGAAAAACAAACAAACAAAAAAAGCAAACTAAAACATGTCCCATTCTAAATAAATAATAGAACAGACAAAAAGAGGATACATTTATATTTGTCGGTCGGGGAATTATTATGAATTGTAGCTTTAGGGATCCACAAGGTAACACTTTACAAAAAATGTAGTTAACTAGTAGAGAGCTAACTGGGAAATAACAGGTAGTTAACCAGTATGTGATGGGAAACACCAACATCAACTGCTTAGTTATCTTGGAAACACACAGTAACTAATCAGGAACTAAGAAAAGAAACTGTAACCTGAAGATGGAAGACATCAATTAAATGTTTTTTATGACTTTATAGACTTTGTGGAGTCATGCCAACCATTTACTGAGGAACTAATAATTACTGAATCACTACAAGACAATTAATTTATGAATTTTGTGAAATAGGTATATTAAGTAAAATGAAGCTACACATTTGTTTGTGATCAGCTGCTCTGTGTTTCCCAGGTAACTAAGCAGTCCCATGATCAGGCTGGGCTTGGTGTTCCCTGTTACCCATTAGTTCCTGGTTAGTTCCCAGGATGTTCGATGAAGTTTATTAAAAAATGTGTTCCTCATTTTGAGTTCTAGAAAATTACAGTTAATCGATATCCAGAAAAGGAGAGAGCATGGAATTAGGAAAAGTGTTCCAGGGAGCTGCAGGACTACCGAAATTATGCAAAGATTGCACTGATGAATCTTGTAGGAGTTCAACCAGAAGGGGAATCTGAAGAACTCCAGACCTCATCTGGTATCTGGAATAGAGTATGATCTATGGGTTGAAAAAAAAATCCCTTCTGGCAACAGAGAAAGTACTCCCCCCCCCCCCCCCCCCCCCCAAAAAAAAAACAAACAAAAAAAACAAAAGTGGACATTCCTTTCACAGTGCATTCTGATAAAACTGTTAGGGTAGCACAACACCTGGGGATATTGATAATTGAAAATGCCTTTAATTTAGCATAAAATCCTAAGGCTTGAGACCTTAAGCTCAGGTATCTTTCAGGAGAACAGTAGGGAAAAACTGCTAAGTACTTCAACAAGTCCAGCTTTGCATGACAAAAACAGACAAACACCAAACGATGTTAAACTGATTAGGATTCTTTGATAAGTTTTTCAATAGTTAATGCTCCAAAGCCTCCTTGTGTAGTTGGATTTCAACAATCCTGTACAAAGAGCAGGAATGACACAACTATTGGGATTGAATAGTAGCTACTGGAGGTAGCACAGCCAGTCTACTCTAATGGAGCTAGGTTGGTTGGGAGAGTTTTTATTTATTTTTTAAATATAAAACTAAATGAGTATGAATTATCTTCATTTGATCTGATATTAAAATTGTTTTTATCTGGAATAATATATTCGGACAGAAGGCTAAAACAGATTTCGTCTATCAGGCATCATTCGTTTAATAGAAAACTTCATTTCTCTTGCCAAATGGACTGTTTAACACTTTTTTTTTGTCCACTGCTTTTGAAAACAGGAAGCAGCTTTTCCTGAAGGTACATTATTCATTCTTTGTGATTATTGATAAGAAAATTAGAAAATTAGAAATTATCTTAATATTGTGTAAATACCTCTTCCTTTTTTAAAAGACTGCACGCAAATTAAGAAAAACTCTTCACAAGAACCCAGTGGAGTTTATGAGATCCAGCCTGCGGGAGTCGATACACACTTTAAGGTACCAAAACTAAAAACCTTTTTTGATTTGTCACTTTAACTGACAGGTTATTGACATATTTGATCTCTATATATAAGACTTTAAATGTAATACTATAAATTTTGTATTTATATGAATTGAACCAAGTCTTACCAAGTGTAACTTTTTCCCTGTGAGGTATTATCTCCATTAATTTTTACATTTATACAGTGGTATCAAATTACAAAATCCCCGGGGGAAAAAAAAGACTAGTTTATTTATCTGAAATCTTCTTTGTGTATTTAAATAAGCAGTGTCGTGGAAAATATATCCCCTAAAGCTTTGAAGTTAGAACCAAAACCTTCATGGCATGTTATTGGTATTTCCCCCTTAGGGAACTCATATTAACAGTCAGCTATGACTCATCCTTTCTGGAAAGATCTTTAGGATTTATGCACCAGTTCAAGTCAAATTTCTAATATGCAATAGTCCCTAAGTTTACTTTTATAAATGACCTACATAAGTGAGTTAGGTATTTTGTCAAATGTATTGTTTTTTTCTTTTTTTCTGTAAACATTTTGCAGATATATCTATGATATATCACCAGATGGAAGATTAGGAACTTTTACATTTCTTTCTTTCGGGAATTAATACAGCAAATTCAACTATTTTCCTCCCTGTAATGATGCTTGTGAAACTCTTACTGAATATCTTCATACCTACATTTAAATTGCAAGTCGAATATGAAATTGAATTGTTTCCAGGGGTGTTTAAGGTTTCATTATCCTCTTATGAATATCTGTTTTGATAAGGCAAACTTCATTATGATATTTTGTCATATATAAACCTATTTTAGATTCGCTTTCAACTCTTTTAATCCGAACAGAAAACAGACAAATTTTCATTCAGACTAATACAGTTAAACAGACTAATTCTGTTCTGAAGGATTTACCTTTGAGAAAGTTATGCTTTTTTTTAAATAATACATTTTTTTTTATAGTTTAGAAAATTAAATGCCAATTATTTTTCTTGGGTTTTAGACCAGTCAGTATGAATCTTGAATCTTTTTTAAATATTTTCTTCAGTACAAGCACTGACAAACTAGCTCACAGTTTTGAATACAGTACATCAGTGTGTCATCTGTATGAAGGGACATCCTCTGCTAAACCTGATTTTGATGTTTTAAACCTTACCAAAAAGTTTTTGATAGTATTTTGAGGGTATATTAATCCCTTTATGTTTGTAAAACTGAGACCCACTTGCATTAATTTGGCTTTCTGTTTGGTACCAATGATTTTCTAGCCCATTCAGTCTTTGGATAAATGTTTTAACATCATAATTGCATGTTCCAAAAAGGCTTAGAAAACATGCATATTGAGTCCAGTGGATTTTTTTTTTTTTTACTTTTTTGGAATGACTATGACCTGGATGACAGAATCTTCACCAGCATAAGTGCAAGTTCAACAAGATACATTTATCATTGTTTTAATGTATTTTTAAATTTTAAAACTATTACCATTTTAATACTATTTTAATAATAATAGATGTTGGAGATCGGCCAGTTTTTCCAGTGTAGTCCTGTTTCTCTGGCTGTTACTGGCTGGATGTGCTCTCTTCATCCTCTGACATGGGAGCCGGCTCAGAGCTCGTCTGCCTGGCTGTGTGTTTCCTGGGCGGGCCGCCTTTTACAGTTGCTTTTGTATCCCTCCTTCTGTCTCCTTTAACTCCAGTCGGCCTCGGCAGATGGCCGCTCACACTGAGCCTGGTTCTGCTGGAGGTTACTTCCTGTTAAAAGGGAGTTTTTCCTCTCCACTGTCACTACAAGCATGCTTAGTGTGAGGGATTGCATTCGAGTCAATGAGTCAATGCAATCAACTGGTTTTCCTTAGATAGAAAACTTTGAATTAATTTGACTGGATGATCTGGTGAACTGTAAAGTGCCTTGACATGACATGTGTTGTGAATTGGCGCTATAGAAATAAACTGAATTGAATTGAATACCAAATATTCCACATTATGCTGGAAGAAAAGTTTTCATTTTAATTTTCATAATTTGAAAACATCCTTTGCTTTTTAAGCAAACGTTGATAATGTGTATACCTGCCTATACTTTTTTCTTCTTTTAAAAGCACTAAATAATTAGTGCAGAACAATAAATAGAATGCAATTAGAATTCAAGTCTGATGTGTCGATTTTCTGAACGCTCTACTCAGGTGTACTGTGAGATGGGGCAGAATGAAGGGTGGATAGTTATTCAAAGACGGACAGGAGGACAAGAGTCTTTTCACAGAGAATGGGAAGAATACAAACGTGGTTTTGGATCCCTGGCAAGTAAGCAAGCAGTCTTTATTATATCAAATTTTAACTGTATTGTTGTCAAAAAACAAAAATTAGCGGTGCAATTTCCCTTTTAAAATTTTGAATGTAACGTTTAAAGCAGTTGCATTAATCTTAACTTCATCCATTATTTATTGAAGTAAATAAAACTCATAACTTTTATGTATCCTGTTAACTTTCTAGATGACCATTGGCTTGGACTGGAGAAAGTCCATCTTTTGACCAAGAACAAAACTAAAAAGTGGACTTTGAAGGTGGACCTGTGGGACCATGAAGGTGGCATGGCTTTTGCTGAATACAATAACTTTACTCTTGGAGATGAGCAAAAAGCTTATAAACTGGAGGTTGGAAGATATAGTGGAAATGCAGGTACTTCAGCGTGTTTCTTAGCTGTCTATTAAAATAGAAAAAAAAAATGTGTGCTGTCTTAAGCACATTCTTTGCAGCAAATTAATTTTGAATCCAGAATTTCCAAAAAAGGCTTTTGGATCATTACTGCTGACACAGCATTGATGTTTAATTGATCTTACAAACAGCAAAATGTCTCTTTTAAAAGGTGACGCTATCCGTGGTTCCAAGCCCCGCATGGACCAGAATGGCTTTGGCTTTAGTACCATCGACAGCGACCATGACGGCTGCTCCCCTTGCATCTTCGATGACATTGCAGAAGAAGAATGTGCCGCATCAGAGGGGGGAGGTTGGTGGTACAGTCGATGTGGCTCTGCAGCTCTAAACGGTGACTGGCATCCTTCTGGGGACCACATCTATTGGGTTTCTGGCCTTCACTGGCACACCTGGAAACCAGTTCCTTATTCAGCAAAGGCAACCAGAATGATGATAAAACCCGAGTGATTCCATATGCCCGTCCCATTTTACCCCTTTGCATATTTAGATTACGGATTAATTTTGTGATCAGATATTCTCTTGTGTTTAGCACATTGTGAGACAGGAAAAATAAAACCTTTTGTGCTTTTAAGTGGTTTTCTTGTCATCGACAAGTGAGAAATACTCCATTCAGCATTTTACTTTTGATTTCGTACTTTACAAATAATTAAAGGTTTTAAAAAAGGGTAACGGTTTTGAATACTGTATAATGTTATGTCATCTGCATAAAGGAAAATCTTGAAAGGAATAATAGGTCTTTATCTCACACAAAAAAGTCCTTGGTGAATTGTTTTTCTTTCAAGGTCAAAGCCAGTTTAGCATTTATTTACAGAATTAATGTATATAAATAACAACACAATTGATTGATTTTTTAATTGTGTTATTTTGGAGGGCAATAAATGGAGCACATATGAGCAACCAGTGTCTAACATAGAACGTCAGATATGACATTTTTTAAAAACTTGTATAAGATGGAGGTTACGTTTCTTTGAAAGTCCTGAAAAGAGAAAAAAATAAAACCATTAGACAGGTAGGAGGCTTAAGGCTAGTATTTATTTTTCTATTTGGGCACTTCTAAAACAGTTTTAAGAAGAATGTACCTCCATAATTTAGTTTGCCATAATTTTCTTAGGCAAAAATCCTCCATCTTTAACTAAAGTTGCAATGTCAGGGATGCCAGCTGATAAACAGTGTGGATGGATAATTTTCAAACAAGGACAGGAAAAGCCTCAAGAATTTTCTTTAATGCTGAAACAAAAATGTTGGCGTCAAAGTTAATACTTTGTTGTCCTGGACTTATGAGGTTACCAGGGAGATTGATGGAGGTAATATTTACCAGGAAGAAACCAAACAGTTGCTGTTAAGTAATGAATCTTAATTATTAAAGTAAGTAAACCTTTTTTATTTGATTTTAAAATTAGTGCTCCATTACTCTTTAGATTTATTTCCTTTTCTGTAAGCCTTTGCAATGTGTCTTCCTATAGGGATAAATGAACTAATGAAGAAAACGCTACAGAACCTAAACAAAAAAGACAGAGCAAGAAAAAAATTTTATTCTGTCATTTTTAATGGCAAGTCCAGGTTGAGACGATTTTAACCACCGATGAAAACACTGACTGCATACCCTTTCCATGCAAATCTAGTAAAGAAAAGTCCAACTTTTTGTTGCCATGAGGTAGAAGTACTATAGGTGCAATCATTCATCATTAGCTCCATTAGTTTTGTATTTTCCCAATGCTAATCTTTAGGATCTTGTATAATTTCCATGTAGAGGACATACGTAAGATAAAAGAACATCAAGCATATTCTTGATTATGTCAGACTGTGGATGGAGTTTGTGTGGAAGGTGATGGGCCAGTACCATATCCCAAGCATCTACTAGTTTGACGTTTACTCCTTTAAAAATTTCTCTTAGAGCCTTATCGCGTTGTAGGGAAAACCAGTCGCTGTTAGTCAAAGCCTCATAGAGGGTCATCTCTTTGGGGTTTGCAGTCCTGAGGAAGACCAACGTACCTGGAGCTCTAGTCAAGAGTCTCACCACTGCTTCCCGAATGTTCAGCAGACGTCTAACGTAAACCTCAATAGGGAAAGTGCTGAAGTGAGCCCAAATGCCAATAACTACAACAGTGTTTTCACCCCCAGGGAGGCGATCCAGCTCATTGGCAATGTATTGTAACTGACTAACAAGCGAGCTGCCAAAACGGATGGGAGGACCGTGGCTGCGGAAGGTCACCAAAATGTTGTTCACATAATCCAAAGCCAATAAAGGGCCACTTTGCTTTGAACTTTGCAGGCCAAACTCCTTGAGATCTAGAAGAGATAGAACATTAGACTGCAAAATGAATCATTACCTACTGTGAGAGCTTTTTTGGGGGGGCATATATACCTGGCAAAGACCGCATTAGGTACTCATACCACTGCCTTACAGTGGAATCCCCATAGATGTGAATGCTTTTGCCTTTAAGACACAAGCTGATTGCTGTGGAGTTAAACTGATGAACTCTGGTGCCATCTAGTGCTTGCCATGCACCTTGATAATAATAACCAGAGGGTCTCATCTCAACAGTGCTTCGGTTTTCATCTGAAAGGTGACAAAAAGTAAAAAAGGAGTAAACATTTTTCTATCCTGCCAGGTTATTCCCTATATATAAATCTATTTTTTCAGCATTACTTTGAGCAAATTCCTCTTTTTCAACTTTATATTTAATATTCCCGTAAAGAAAAGTCTTGAAAATGACAGAATTTTAACACAATAGCTGAAGGAGTAACATATTCTCAATTTAAAAACACTTTTTTTTTTTTTTTACGAGAGTATAAAAAGGGATTCTTACATTTTGAATCAGGAGAAGAAGAAAAGACACTTCAACTGTTATTGTTGACTGTTTTACTTTCATATATAGTTTACCTTTTAGTTTTGGCAAAACAGTGATGTAAGCAGGTCCTGAAGCTGGAACGGGGACTTTCATATTGACACCACTAAAACAAAGCAATATAAGCAAACAATAAAATGTGTAATCATTTATGTAAGAAATCTTTGCATCTCATTGACATTTTTAATGCATTTTAGATTTTGTTTACATTTCTGTTTTGTTTACATCTGTCTGTCCCTCAGCTCTTTGTTTACAGTTTTTTTTTTCTTTTGCAATCTTTTTCTTTGTATTTGCTATGGCCTGACAAATGCACTGCCTAAAGTGTACATTAATAACCAGATAAACCATGACCCAAATAAATGTTCATTTTCACTGAATATTTCATCATCTTGCCTGGTTCTGTGTACATTCAGGCAGTTTGTTTCATTTTTTTTTATTTGAAGAAAAGAAAAACACAAGTATTTTTGTTTGTTAAACCATAACGAGAAAACTGGTAAAAGTTATACGATTTCTCCTTTTTCTAAACGAAAATGAGAAAAACATCCTCAAGGATTAATTTTTTTTTTTTTTTTAAGTGACCTGAGAGCCCATTGTGTAGAGAGGCAGAAGTCCATAATAGTGAATATTATGAATTTATTTGATATATTCAGACAAGCTTAATTCTGACTTTGTTTTGTATCTGCACTAAAAACCCATAAACATATGAAGGTCAGAGAGATCAGTGTTTACCATGCTGACAATCATGACTACTTGCTTCATTAAAAGAAAATCAAGAATGAGCGCTCATTACCGTTCATTATCGGTCCAATTGCTCATTTTAGTAAATAAATAAAATCAAAACAAAAATACTGGTGTTTTTGTATATGTAATGGTTGATTAAGCAAAAATAAAAAAACAGCCTGAATGAACACTGACCTCTTTATTGTCTAAACAGCTAGGTTAGGAAAAAAGTTTTATTTGCGAGAAAAGAGAATTTTCCTCCAATGACATGGTCGTTGTTCTTGGAGATAAAATTCAGGATTAGTTTCAAACCTTTTGTTCAATGTCAGGAATCTTCACATCAAGCTAAATCTTTCATTAAGAAGCAGCTTTGAGTTTGTATGGTGGCGCATTTAGACTTTTTTTGCATCTGATTTTTAAGCTCAACAAAATGATCAGAACATTTACCTTTGAAAGAGCTTCTCCTCCATTGGGTTTATGTTTTGTCTGAATCGTCCTTTGGAGTGGGTGATCCTGTTGTCGCAGCCTAAAATCTTTGGCTTATAGCAAAACCACGGCTCCCCTGTCTTAATGTCAGTGTAGTTACACAGTTTTTGTTGGTTTGAATTAAGACAGACATTGCAGGTGGTAGTTTCACTTATTGAGCCCAACTTGAAATGACTTTGAAAATAGATTCTGTCAGGCTGCTCCTGGGTCAGTTTATGCAGCACCGTGACTGCCTCGCTGGGGTGAACCAGCGTCACCTAAAGGAAAACAGAACAAAACATTTTTACACAAACCAAACCTCCGCAAGAATGATTTTAGTATCTATAAAAGACAAATCGAGGCTGCCTAGGGTTTAGGCCATAGAGCTTGGAGTCCAGAGGTTCTGAGTTCAGGCCCCACTGGGTCCCTAAGCAAGACCCTTAACCCCACACTGCTCCCCGGGCGCCGCACAGTGGCAGCCCACTGCTCATTTTGTTGCTCTGTACTTGCTGCAGTGTAATGACAATAAAAGCTGGGAAAAGATAATGCAGCGACCCTTCAAAATATTCAATCTTTTCTGTTAGTCGACGCTCTTCATGGTTAAATGGTGCAGTAATAAAACTAAACAGAGTTGATAACAGAAGATATGGCAAGACAATCAAAGTATTTGAGTGTTGCATAAATCCTGAACAGTCCAGGGGTGGCTAATCAATAGTGTTAAAAAATTTTAAGGTTTATGTTGTATTTTATATTAAATGAAGTAAACAAGAAATTTTTTTTCTTCCTAATTTCAATCTGCTACTAAAACTTTATGTAATAGGGCTTGGTCGTCATGACGTAAGCACTTCGCGTCGCCGCCATGTTGAATGCGTCTTTTACCGCGGCTCAGACTATTGCCTATGACTACCACGTACTGTACTCCCTCTCAGCCGTGTTTTAATTTGATTAATTTCACCTTAACTTGATTTCAACCATGGTAAACCGTTGCTGTATTGCGGGCTGTAACAGCTCAACACATGATCGCCATGGGAAAAACATAGAAAATGGGTTAACTTTCAACTACTTTCCTGCCTGGAGGCGTAACCATGGAGACCAAGTGTCCGAGATAAAGAGTCGTCGGCTAGCTTGGATCGCAGCTGTAAGACGACCGAACATAACTTTCCACAGTATTCTAATGTCATTGAGAGTGTGTTCCCTGCATTTTCATTCTGGTAAGTTAAAGATGCACGGTTTCATTTTATAGCCTACATTGTTTATTTCCTTCAAAGTTGGGATCTTTTACAGGAAAATAAAAAGGGCAGCGGGAAAATGCTCAAATACGCGAGAAACCCGGAGGGTTGGCAGTTAACGTTACTAACTACACCTTTTAAACACATAGCAGCTAGTTAAAAGTAGATTAAATGCGTGAGTGGTTGTTAGCACTAGCGGTTAGCAGTTGCTAAACTAGCAGGTTCCAGAGCCCGTCTGATCACAGCTTACCTTTGTACGGATTACTGTGTTCCCACTGTTTGCTGGCTTTATGATGTGCAGCTCCTGA